TATTGGATGTTCAAACGAATAGGTTAGTGTGTGTGTAGTAGAGCCAGACCGATATTATCGGCCAATATTAGGCATTTTCCAAAATATCGGTATCGGCAGTTATAATGGCCGATAAATTAATATTTCAAAAATAAAATAAAAAAGGGCGAAACACGCTTCAATGATCTCTCCTTGGCCTGTTATATTAAAAATGTATGTTTTACAATTTGCAGTATGACGTTATCTATTGCTAAATTATGGCTCATCATAGGCTAGCTAACCACAAAGCTAGCTAACGCCACTATCATCAGTGGAAGACCGCTAACGTTAACATTAATGAGCTTGGAAACCACAATGAACTTTTTCTGTCTAAATAAAGTAATGATTACTGTATTTATAACTAGCATATCTCTAGTTACAGTCCCTGCATTGTAAAATGTAAGTTACACTTGCGAGGAGTGAACATTTAGACATAGAGAAAAAGTATCAAACGTATCTTGCGCAGAAAAGTTAGCTTTTCTTTTACACGTGTGTGAAATCCAACAATATTTAATAAAAAAAATATATCGGCCGATATATCGGATTTTAAAACCCAAAAATATTTGTATCGGCCTTCAAAATCCTTTATCGGTCGGGCTCTAAAATTTGTTACGTAGTGACTTGTGTGTTTAAAGAGTAACTAAACACTAAACCAACATTTTTTAGTTCATGATCTGTAAGAATGGATGTTTATTAATACCAGTCATTGATTCGAGTAACTTTTTTGACATTTGTGTATAAAGTGTTTTATTTCTACAATATATGGTGTAAAAACGTCTTAGTGCTGCCCTCTTCAGGTTGAACGGTGGCTACTGCAGTTGAATTTCCTATTGGATGTTCCGCACTTCGTGACGTACGCAGGTTTCAGCTCACCCCACTTTTTCAGCATTTTTCAGAGTCAGGCTCTGACCAGGGGTTTAGTTACCCTTTAAGTAGGCCAGATATGAGCAGATTATGCACAATACACTGTATTTAATATATCATGATGACTCACAAGTTGAGTATTTGCGCTAAATCTGTGCAGATTCGTCTTAACCAAACTCCCACAGCAATGTTTTAAGAAACGCGAGTGATTTGACAGCGTTAGCCACCACAGTTGATTGTCAAACCCTGCTTGTGACGCTGTGGCCTGTTGTGATTGTCTGCAGTCGGACAAGTTGAACAGCCGCCTGAAGCAGCTGAAGCGCCAGCTGGAGGAGACTGAGGAGGAGGCGCAGCGAGCCAACGCTAACCGCAGGAAACTGCAGAGAGAGCTGGAGGACGCCACCGAATCAGCCGACGCCATGAACCGCGAGGTCAACAGTCTGAAGAGCAAACTCAGGTGCGCAAGAATCACACATCACCACTGTTGACATCTGATGACATGCTCTGCACGTTCACATCAGGGTGAAACTAACACCGTAAGCCATAATCACGGCTATCTGAGGGGACCGCAGTCATTGTGAAGTTTAAATTTGAATCACCTTTTGCCATTTAAATGAGTTAAGTTATATTTTGGTTGTAAAATATTATAAATAACAAATTAAATATTAGGTTACACTTTATTTTAAGTTGTCATACAGCGTAATTATATTATATATGCAGGTACTGAGTAATATTAAGCAACTCCATAAGTACTCACTATAGGGTTAGGGTTTGGTTGAAGGTTAGTTGCATGTGATTATGCATAATTTACTGTTATTACCACGGTAAGTAAATGTGACACGGACACTGTAAAATAAAGTGTTAACTTAATAAATAAAGTTAAAAAAAAGTAATTGCGTAAAATTGTTAATTGCGTAAACTCAGATGCGTAAGAACACACAGCTGCACCATAACAGTTACAATATTTAATTGCGATTATTAATCCGTCAATTTGAGAAATTTTACATTTCATTAGAATTATAGCTCGTTCACTTCAGGGTTATTATTAAAAACTAAAGCAATAAAGAAACATTTGTTACCGGAACTAAAATAAACGTTAACTGAAATCAAATAAATTATAGGGACAATTTCAGCTAACTTGCAAAGGCAGAATTTCTCATTTTAGTTTAGTTTTAAAATAAATAAAAAAGGCAGAAATGGAATAAAATTACAAAAACTTTAAAATTAAACTGGAAATGTAAAAATAAAAGCTGTAATAGTGTACACTGGTTCACATAAGCACAAATTCATATGTGTGGTTTATTTGACCTCATTTAGTTTTTTGATTTATTATATTTTTCATATAAATTAATAAATTTTCTGGTATAGTTAAATATATACACAATAATTACAAAAATACATTTTCAAATATGTTCAACTATTTGGAATTTTTCGATTGTTTTTTTTTTTTTTATCTATTTAAAAGGTAATTACGACTCTTTATCTCGCAATTCTGACTTTATATCACGCAATTGCAAGAAAGAAAGTCTTGAGTTTACCAGATAAGTCGGGATGAGATCAAATAAGATAAAGTCGCAATTACCTTTGGAATTGTTTTATTCCATGGTGGAAACAAGTTTCCATAATATTTCAATAACTTTTCTTTATATATATATATATATATATATATATATATATTTCTGTTCTAATCTATTTTCCTACGATTCTGTTTTTCTGAGAGGAAAGCTCTGATTGGGGGATTTAAACTCTTAACATCAGGAAAAAAGCTTATGTAGGATTGTTACAAATTCAAGATTACGCAATAAAAAACAAAAACTGTTTTCAGGACAAGTCCCCAGAGGGCCAATATCACTGAGGCTTGCATATCAAATGCATATCTGCTATTGAAACGTGTGTGTTTTCATGTCCAGGCGTGGCGATCTACCCTTCACCATGCGTCGCATCGTCAGCCGCTCGGGAATCGAGAGCGATGAAGACCCAGAGGCCAAGAGCGAAACCCCAGAACCCAAACCAGAGTGAAAGAAGCCGGACCGCAGCGTCCCCACATACACACACACACACACACACACACAAGCCTCGGACAATAACGTCCAGGAAAACTCAGAGATTCCCTCTCGTCTTTTTATATTATCGTTATTTTAGTGCCATAGTGTATTATAAACAAACACACAATGGTTCTCTTGACAATCACACTCGACAGCTTCACTCGCACTGAGGACCAAATTCGTGTTTTCATGTCATCGTCTAGAATAGAAACGAATAGAGCGGAATGATATTTTTTGTAAGGACGCATTCCCTCAATGATATTCCCGATTCTGGATCTATTTTTCTAACTGAAGTAAAAGAGAAAAAAAAAAAAATGAGTTTAAAAAAAAAAAAAAGTGAAGAAAGAACTTATTTGAAGGGGACCAAAGCAAACGTTGCTTTCTACACAACTGTATTTTATTGGTAAGTTTTTATAATGGTATAAGGATGAACATAGCGCTTGCGCCTCTGCTGGTAAATAAGACATTGTGATGATAATTCACCTTTGGCTAAGCCACGCCCTAGAATGTAGATTGACCAATCACAGCCCACAGAGGTCCGACACTTTTTCACAGCGCTCCATTGACTTTCAACACAGGCGTCTCATATTTTTGGTCTCGGCAGGCTATTACCGTCGTAGTTTTATCAAAAATATGGATAAACGTTGTTCCTGGGGCATTTGTAACACAGATACGCGTTTCCCAGAGAGGTTGGAGGGGCGTGTCCGGTTTTTCCCTTCCCAAAACCGAGTGTCGTCTTTGGATTAAACTGTGTGAACCCCTCAAAGATCAACAAGCACATCTAAGTAACTAAGGGGGGCGGGGCTTAGCCAAAGGTGAATTACAGATAGTATCATACAGTTACGCTTTTTGGGCTTTACACACGAATAAGGCATTTAGTAATTCAAACCAGCACGGAAAATATTAGAGATTGTCACCATATATGCACATGAAATGGGGAAAGATTTGTGTCTGTTTGTTCTGAGCAATGAAAGGTGTGTGTTTTCTCACTGTTGCTGCAGACTGAAGGAATAAAGACAGAGTAGGCAATGCACGAGCTCATTTAGACTATGCACTATCGCCTTAAATCTACTATTTGGATATTTTCTGATCCTCTTTTCCTTCAAGTATATGTGTCTTTTATTAATGTTCAGGGCATGAAGGGTGGATGGGTTGATGGTTTCTCTCACATGCGCACACACACACTGTAAACTCTGAGCACGGCTTCGCAGGGCGGGAAGCCACCGTTTGGCGGGAGTTTTTGAAATATGGAACGGTTTCCGTGGCTACCTCTAAAACTCTCTGACGTCATATTTGATTATTCCGCGATCTGGGTTTGATTTTTCTGTCTGGGTTTCTCTCAGAAAGACCGAGATTATTCTGCCGAGGGTTTTTTTAAGGGGTCGGTGATCTCACTCCTCGAAGCTCGTGCTCAGTTTCTGCTTTTCCGCTCACACTGCTGGGAAGTGAGAGAAATGTACTATTATTGATTATGTATGGATACGTAGAGCATTTTTCTCTCTCATTCTCATTTTCTCCCAATAATGACTTTGTGATGTTGTGTTATGTTCTCTCTCTGCAGCTCCTAAATGATATCCGGAGAGATTTGTCATAAATCGTTATAATGATATGCAATAAAATGGCTTTTCCAAAACCGCTTTAGCAAGTGTATGTCTCTTGACTTGATGTTTTTTTTATTTTATTTTTTTATATTCTAGTTACAAAACTACGAAAACCCTGAACCGCAAGGTGAGATAAAAAAAGAAAACTTATCTCGTTATAACGACATATTATGTCATTTTTTAACAACTTAAGTTGCTGTAACGACTTAGTGTGTCGTTTTAACGGCATAATATCTCATTATAATGACGACATAATATCTTGTTATAGTAACGACATAATATCTTGTTATAAAACGTCATAATATCTCGTTATAACGACTTATGTCGTTAAAACGACATGATATCTCGTCAAAACGTCATAATGTCTCATTATAACGACATACTAATTAATGTGCTAAGAGCTCGCTCAAGTACTGGGGAGCTCTCAGTAATCAGCAATATTTTAAAATGTATACGATGTTTAATAGGCAGCCAATGCAGGGTTGACAGAACCGGATATGGTCATACATCTTCCTGGTTCTGGTAAGAACTTAGTTTTGAACTAGCTGAACTTTGTTTATTAAGCATGCAGGGGGTCCACCCAGTTGAGCATTACAACAATCTATAGATGCCATGAATGCAGGAACTAACTCCTGAATGTTCCGCATTTGTCAATGAGAGCATATGGCGTAATTTACGATATTTTTCCGATGGAAAAATGCGGTTTTACAGATACTAGACACATGACTTTCATAGAGAGTACCTGTCTCAAACAGTTCATATGAATTAAATGGTACAGTCTCTAAAATAGAATTAGGCCTACTGAGTTCTGCCACGAGAGCGCGCACTGGTCGCCTTAATGTAGACAGAGCTGTTTTGCGCAGATCTATCTGCTTTACATTGAAGCGAATTTATAAATCTGTGTGTTTATGATTCACCGAGACCGTTTTATTTTACTGTGTGAGTGAACATTATTTCTCAACTGCTACATTTGGGCAATTTTGCAACCGCTAGCTGCGAATCAGATTCAGTGTATGACACCTTCATCAGGCCCCGCCCCTTTCTTTAATACATACCTGTGAAGCGCGTGCACAGACAGAACTGATACCAGTTCACGGTCCAGTGTGTGTGATCGCCACATCTTCTTTATTATTTTTATTTAATTACTTTTTGTTTCTAAGTATCCTTACCCATCGAGGTTGTCTGGGAATATTTTTCACCTTTGCAGAAACGTTAATTGGAAACGTTATTCCCCAGAATGATGAACACCCGCCGCGGGTCATAGAAGAGGTGAGCAGATCTTTATAACTCCGTATTTAAGCTGTTACTTTTTCTGGCTTCAAACAGCTCAGTCAGAACCAAATGGACGTGCACCTCACGTGGGAGCGCGCGCTTGAATTAATGAATGAATGAGAGGCACGGCGCACACACTGATAGAATTATACACACCGTGTGTGTGTGAGTGAGAGAGAAACAGTCTGTCTGGTGATGTTAGTTTGTGTGAAATTAGATGCGGTCAGTAATTAATTCTCACATCACTGTTTTCAGAAGCTCAAGATAAACTGATCATCTCAAACAACATGGAGTTCTTGCTGGTAAGTCTGAGTTTTATTTCTTTTTGTAAACCTGTTAAACATTACGAAATGTATGTATTAGACACCGAATATGTTTCTTATCTAAAAAAAAAAGCCCCAAAAAAGCATTGTATTCCCCGAGAAACTTTTGCATTTGCTCGCAATGCATTATTGTCGTTTTTCTCACACATCATTATTTCTATTGCCTTTGCAGCTATAGATTAAATTATACATATAATTTATTTTAGTTTCGTTTCTCGTTTGAACGAAAAAGTTTTAAGAGCGGGTTTAGTTTTTTTTTAAGTGAACGAAAAGTTTCTCGGATGAACACAAAGTTTTTCAGAGGAACGCAAGATTTTTAAGAGCGAACTGAAGGTTTCTCAGACGAACGGAACGTATATCAGACAGGGGAACGCAATTGTTTTGAGAGCAAACAAAAAAGTTTCTCAGGGGAACACATTTTTATCAAATTAAACTTTCTCAGTGGAATGCACAAGTTTTAAGAACAAACGCAAAGTGTCTCATAGTATCATTTCTGAACTCTGACCTCTGACTCGATCAGGTCACATCACCTTGCCCTGTTTCTTCAGGTCATATCACTCATGTTATCTGGTGAGTGATATGGCAGATAGTTAGCTCTGACTGTGCCGTATCACAGTGGCTGGTGGACTCAAACATGGGGTTTAAAATGTTCAGACAGTGAATTTGATCATATAAAGTGATTTTAATATGCAGTGAAAGGCTTGAACGGGCTGATTATAAAGAGTTTGTTGTTTACTTAAGGTGTTTTTTTTTATCCTCTGAAGGGGCGGGATTTAGCCAAGCCTCTTGTTTTTTGCATTCCGATTGGTCCGTGTGAAGCGGTCCTCTGAAAAGAGGCGGGGCTTGGTTAAGCGGTAGACACACACACACACACAGACGTGAAGTTGCATTTTACTACTTCATGTCATAAAAAATAAAAAAATAAATAAATAGGTAAAACGAGTAATGTTGACTAGCTGATTTTATTTAAATTACATTTTATTTTTATTTCAAATTGCAAAAACATGTATGGCTTATGTTTAATATAAATAATATAATATTATAGTTTTTATTAATATTGTGTATTGTTTTTTTCTTCCTTTTTTTACTTTAATTAGGTAGTTTATCATTTAAAAAATGTGTGTGTGTGTGTGTGTGTGTGTGTGTATATGTTTGTTAGTTTTTGTTATTTTAGTACTGTATTTATGAAATTTAAACTTAAAGTGCCATGGAGTAAGTTCTACTTGAAAAAGTTTGTTGTATTATATTTTATTTTACTTCAGTTAATGTTTGTTAGATCCAATTAACCTTATTTAATAAATAAATAAATAAAATTGTTACATGCTGAACTCCATCTAAAATAATGTTGTGTAAACCGATGTGATTGGAGCAGTTTTTGATGGCTTGTTTAAACCTGATGCAGGCTCACCCGGCCCTGAAGGCGTTCATGTGTGGCTCTCTGAGCGGGACGTGCTCCACACTGCTCTTCCAGCCCCTGGACCTGCTGAAGACGCGCCTGCAGACGCTACAGCCCGGGTCGGGTCGGGTTGGCTTGGTCGAGGTGTTTGTGAGTGTCCTACGGACGGAGAAGCTCGTGGGACTGTGGAGAGGTGTCTCACCTGTGAGTGTCGCACTCATCCGAGACCATCCCTCTGTTGTGTTTCTTTGTGTGGTTCTACACTAGGGCTGCACGATTAATCGCAATTTACATGTAATCACTTATCGCGATTTTGAAATCACAAAGGCTGTGAGTATTTGTAATGTGCGGCTTGTCAGTGATGTAAACGCTGCTCAGTCTGAAAGCACTTAGTTTGAGTCTCTTATGATGCGCATTTGAAAAAAGAAATGCACGTCAAAACATCTTTCAAAACATGAAAAGCATTTATGAACCTCTTTGAACAAAAGACAACTTTTAATAACATGCTTTTACTCCAAACTCACTTCATAAGGACAGTTGAGCTCAGCCTTCGGAAATAGATGTGCAAAAGGCAGTCGTTTGTTTATTAGTCATGACTCATGTTTAATCAAAGCGTTCTGAGAATGACGTGTCGTACTTCTGCGGTGGGGCATATTTGGTGTCTGTGTGTGTTAGATGCCCCCTGGTGTTCAGATGGAGCAGCATTTACTACCGATCAGCCGCTGCACTGATAAACTGATAAATACAATCACAGCCTTTGCTAAATCGTCTGCTGTTTCATTGCGATTAATTGTGCAGCTCTATATACTCTGTTTCTCTCTCCGCAGTCGTTTGTGCGCTGTATTCCAGGAGTCGGGATCTACTTCAGCACATATTTCACACTAAAGCAGCATTTCTTCGCGGATGGGGCCCCGGGGCCCCTGCATTCAGCGCTGCTGGGAGCCGGAGCCAGATGTGTGGCCGGCGTCTGCATGCTGCCCGTCACCGTCATCAAAACACGCTTCGAGGTGTGTGTGTAGATAAATACAAATCAATACACTAGCATTCAAAATGTGCAATTTTATTTTTTTCAATTATTTTTTTTTTCAGCAAGGACGCATTAAGTTGATCAAAAGTAACAGTAAAGACATTTATAATGTTACAAAAGTTTGCAATGTGACACTGAAGACTGGAGTTAATTATGCTAAAAATCAGCTTTGATCACAGGAATAAATTACACTTTACTCTATATTCACTTAGAAAACATCTGTTTTACATTGTAGTAATATTTGAACGTTTTACTGTATTTTGATCAAATAAATGCAGCCTTGTTGAGCAGAAGAGACTTCCTTAAAAACATTCTAATGTCTTACTAACTATTGAACACTAGTGTAGATCGGTTTGTTAAACCATGGTGTGTGTGTGTGTGTGTGTCAGAGCGGCCGCTATCAGTACCGCAGTGTGTCAGGCGCGCTGCGGTCCGTGTGTCAGACGGAGGGACCCAAGGCCCTGTTCTCCGGTCTGACGGCCACACTCCTCAGAGACACACCGTTCTCCGGGATATACGTCATGATCTACAGCCAGACCAAATACTCACTGCCACCAGGTCTGAACACACACTGACCAAATACTCACTGCCAACAGGTCTGAAAACACACTGACCAAATACTCACTGCCACCAGGTCTGAACACACACTGACCAAATACTCACTGCCACCAGGTCTGAACACACACTGACCAAATACTCACTGCCGCCAGGTCTGAACACACACTGACCAAATACTCACTGCCACCAGGTCTGAACACACACTGACCAAATACTCACTGCCACCAGGTCTGAACACACACTGACCAAATACTCACTGCCACCAGGTCTGAACACACACTGACCAAATACTCACTGCCACCAGGTCTGAACACACACTGACCAAATACTCACTGCCACCAGGTCTGAACACACACTGACCAAATACTCACTGCCAACAGGTCTGAACACACACTGACCAAATACTCGCTGCCAACAGGTCTGAACACACACTGACCAAATACTCACTTTCACCAGGTCTGAACACACACTGACCAAGTACTCACTGCCACCAGGTCTGAACACACACTGACCAAATACTCACTGCCAATAAGTCTGAACACACACTGACCAAATACTCACTGCCACCAGGTCTGAACACACACTGACCAAGTACTCACTGCCACCAGGTCTGAACACACACTGACCAAATACTCACTGCCACCAGGTCTGAACACACACTGACCAAGTACTCACTGCCAACAAGTCTGAACACACACTGACCAAATACTCACTGCCAATAAGTCTGAACACACACTGACCAAATACTCACTGCCACCAGGTCTGAACACACACTGACCAAGTACTCACTGCCACCAGGTCTGAACACACACTGACCAAATACTCACTGCCACCAGGTCTGAACACACACTGACCAAATACTCACTGCCACCAGGTCTGAAAACACACTGACCAAATACTCACTGCCACCAGGTCTGAACACACACTGACCAAATACTCACTGCCACCAGGTCTGAACACACACTGACCAAATACTCGCTGCCACCAGGTCTGAACACACACTGACCAAATACTCACTGCCACCAGGTCTGAACACACACTGACCAAGTACTCACTGCCACCAGGTCTGAACACACACTGACCAAATACTCACTGCCACCAGGTCTGAACACACACTGACCAAGTACTCACTGCCACCAGGTCTGAACACACACTGACCAAATACTCACTGCCACCAGGTCTGAACACACACTGACCAAATACTCACTGCCACCAGGTCTGAACACACACTGACCAAATACTCACTGCCAACAAGTCTGAACACACACTGACCAAATACTCACTGCCACCAGGTCTGAACACACACTGACCAAATACTCACTGCCACCAGGTCTGAACACACACTGACCAAATACTCACTGCCACCAGGTCTGAACACACACTGACCAAATACTCACTGCCACCAGGTCTGAACACACACTGACCAAGTACTCACTGCCACCAGGTCTGAACACACACTGACCAAATACTCACTGCCACCAGGTCTGAACACACACTGACCAAATACTCACTGCCACCAGGTCTGAACACACACTGACCAAGTACTCACTGCCACCAGGTCTGAACACACACTGACCAAATACTCACTGCCACCAGGTCTGAACACACACTGACCAAATACTCACTGCCAACAAGTCTGAACACACACTGACCAAATACTCACTGCCACCAGGTCTGAACACACACTGACCAAATACTCACTGCCACCAGGTCTGAACACACACTGACCAAGTACTCACTGCCACCAGGTCTGAACACACACTGACCAAATACTCACTGCCACCAGGTCTGAACACACACTGACCAAATACTCACTGCCAACAAGTCTGAACACACACTGACCAAATACTCACTGCCAATAAGTCTGAACACACACTGACCAAATACTCACTGCCACCAGGTCTGAACACACACTGACCAAGTACTCACTGCCACCAGGTCTGAACACACACTGACCAAATACTCACTGCCACCAGGTCTGAACACACACTGACCAAGTACTCACTGCCAACAAGTCTGAACACACACTGACCAAATACTCACTGCCACCAGGTCTGAACACACACTGACCAAATACTCACTGCCAATAAGTCTGAACACACACTGACCAAGTACTCACTGCCACCAGGTCTGAACACACACTGACCAAATACTCACTGCCGCCAGGTCTGAACACACACTGACCAAATACTCGCTGCCACCAGGTCTGAACACACACTGACCAAATACTCACTGCCACCAGGTCTGAACACACACTGACCAAATACTCACTGCCACCAGGTCTGAACACACACTGACCAAATACTCACTGCCACCAGGTCTGAACACACACTGACCAAGTACTCACTGCCAACAAGTCTGAACACGCACTGACCAAATACTCGCTGCCACCAGGTCTGAACACACACTGACCAAGTACTCACTGCCAACAAGTCTGAACACACACTGACCAAATACTCACTGCCACCAGGTCTGAACACACACTGACCAAATACTCACTGCCATCAGGTCTGAACACACACTGACCAAATACTCACTGCCACCAGGTCTGAACACACACTGACCAAATACTCACTGCCACCAGGTCTGAACACACACTGACCAAATACTCACTGCCACCAGGTCTTATTCAAAATTGCAGTAAAGTTTCTCATAGGAAAGCAAAAATGTAGTGATTAAACTTTTCTCAGAACCTTGATAACAGGTAACAGGATATTGCTCATGATGTACAAATGTTTCTCCATAAGAGATAAGAGGTGTTCAGTCATTCCTTCATTGTGACACTGATAAACTCTGCTTCTCTTTCAGAGATCAGTCAGTCGTCTTACGCTCCGCTGGCTAACTTCAGCTGTGGGGTTCTGGCCGGCGTCTTGGCCTCCGTCCTGACCCAGCCGGCGGATGTGGTGAAAACTCATGTTCAAGTGAGTCCAGACGTCTTCAGCAGGACGTCAGATGTGCTGCGATACATTTACAAGGTAACAGATGCTCGTCTCCCAGCATGCACCTCTCTCTGCTGCCTCAGACTGGCACCCGGTGTCTCTGAGAGGCCATATGTTACTGTTACATATTTAACTATGATTGAGGTTTTTTTTAGGCATAATAATAATCTTTAGATCTGTCATTACAAGCTAGAACTGCATCTGATTGTATTCATACAGGTTTCCCCAAACACTTCTTTAAAAAATGTGTTATTTATATATAAATTGTTTATTTATTTATCATACACAGTATATACATGCAAATATTTCTTAAATATATGTGTGTGTGTATTTATACATGTTGTGAACATTATACATTATGTGAACACAAACTTTTATTCTGGATGCAATTAATCATTGTCGGGCACATATTTTTTTATTTTGCCGAATACTTAAATGATATAACTTAGAAAAATAAAACATTTATTGTTTAAAAATTAAAAGCTACTCCAATAAACTATCGGTACTGATATATCGGTAAAACTGATGTATCGGTAAAACTTACTTGAATACTAGCTGAATACTAAAATTAAATTCCTAAAAACAATATGACTAAAAACTGAAATAAAAATAACTTGGGGAAAAAAAATATATTGTTTAAAAATTAAAAACTTATTCAAATGACAAACACGCACACAAAAAATGACTAAAACTAAAATGTTGAAATAAACCTAACTGAAGCGATGCCTTTGTCTGTCAGGATCAGGGTTTGGTTGGTTTCTTCCGCGGTGCGGTTCCTCGCTCTCTGAGGAGAACACTAATGGCGGCGATGGCCTGGACGGTGTACGAGCAGCTGATGGCTCAGATGGGCCTCCAGTCCTGAGAGCGATCACACATCACACTCGATATTCACACGGGACGCCTGGTGTTTCAGTGTTTCACTCTGAGGTCCTCCACGGTGAAGATCGTGTGTCCAGAGAAATTGATCACAAACAGCTTTGATTCTCAATCACGGTGAACTGAAGCGAGAAACATCTTGAACAGATATTGAGTTTTCAAACGCACTTTAATATGTCAGCTCAGCTTGTCTTGTCTGTTTTTGGGTAAATTACGCTGCTTATTAACATGTTATCCAGTGTCGCCTCATGGGCTGGTTTAAGACAGTCATAGGCTAATCTGTTTGATTTTATAGTATTATGTTGCAGATTATGGTTGATAGGTTAACTTAATATGTTGTTTGAGTAAAATTATTATTATTAAAGCCAACATGAAACAGAATTTGTGAAATTTTTTTTCCTCCCAAATGTGATGATATCGCTTCTGCGAGAACAACTATAGGGCGGGGCATCTTCACGTACCGTCCATTCACACAATCCCTCCTTATTCAAATCATTTGAATGCTGAATGTGAATATCAGGAAGAAATGAGAGATGATCATTGTCTGGAAGGAAACGCTCAACTCAAACGGACCCCGTAATATTCACGACACCATTTTCAACTAAAAACGTAAAACTTTTTCTGCGTTTTGGCTGTTCGTTTACACGACAACAGCATTTTGGCTGCCTGAAAATGGCCTGTTTTAAAGCGGCCTGTGAGTAAACAACAAAAATATGAATCTCTGGAAATGATGACATCATCGCCATCTAATGGCCTGGCAGCAGAATATTTTATTGCCGTTTCCGTGGATTCGTGTGAATGGGGATCGTTTTGACAATGGTGTCGTGTGTATGTGGGAACTACAAACTTAAAGGAAAAACTTACACTTAAGTAAGTTTATTTTTAAGTCACAGATTTAATAATGTAAACGTGCCCTCATTCAAAAGTGTCGGCCCAGATCCAGCCCACATCTGACACATTTTGATCCGGATGTGGGCCGTGTCTGGGCCGACACTGTTTCTGTCTGGGATAGATTGTTCAAACTGGCTTGAGGAGACTGGGAAATTGACATGCTTTTCCTAAACTCCTCTGTCAGTGCAACCTGTCACAAATGTTTCTGTGAAGATCATCCTGTTAGGTAAATGAGTTTTTCCAGCTCAAACAGTATTTTTCTGATATGAACGAGGGTCATCCGCAGAAAGCCTTTCTGAATGAGGGGAGCTGATAAGACCGATGACCTCAAACAAGTCTCTTACGCAAATCCCTTCAATCGAGTTCAAGAACACAAACCATTACAAGACAACACACACAAGCTGATCTGGACAATAATTACGTGACCCGCTGAAAAAGTGGCTCTGTGTTTGATAAATGCCACTGCGATGATTTATATTATTACCACTTGGATGTTTTATATAGTATGTTTCTGATATGTTACCATAACATTTCGATTCAGTCTTTTCAAGCAAGTTTTTTTTATTTATTTTGTATTTCAAAATTGTGCCATAATGTTCGCCAAATATATTCAGTTACTGCTGTACTACTAAATAATTTGCCATTGATAAAAGAAAATTTAAAGAGGATTTTAGAGGCATTATTTTAAATCAATGTTATTTAAATAAATATAATTCTGAAAATTTAATAAATTAGCTAATAAATACACTATTTTATTCCTAAAAATATTTCAAAATCTTTTAGTATTTTTAATTGTTTAAAAAATAATCTGTTGTTTTAATAAATAAATTATTAATAAAGGTCATGCATAATCTTCTTATTAAAAACATATATAATATTTTAAAAATACAATTCAGAATATTTGAAATTTATTGCCTATTATTTCTGCTACAACAATGATAATGGAATTGTGGAGGAAATAATAATATCATGTTTTGTAAGTAAACATCTAGTTGTCTATGAAAGACTGTAGGGTATACCAGCTAACTAGTATTTTATTTTAAGTTTTGTTTAGGTCTTCAGAGGGTGCATAATGACATTTTAACCCAGTTAAATAAATGAGGGACTTGATGATCGTGCTCTCGTTTCATCATTAACCTGCGAACATCTAATCACTGATTAGCTGATACTAACTATTGATAATAACACACACGCACGCACAGCTCACATATTGTCCTCGTTTCCCCTTCATTTTCACATTCACTGGTTCTCTTATTGAGGTTTGTTCATTTCTCCATAGAAAATAAACGTTAATTAAAAACATTCAAACATGTTTGTTCACTGTGTAAACACTCATGACACCGACATCTAGGACAGAAAGTCTCAAAGCAAACAGAAATTGCGACAGATGTACGACTACACAGAGTTCAACCGAGAAGTCACTCCGAGTCTCGCCATTGTCTTAATATGGTCTTTGTCTTAATATGGACAATCCATCCCGTCCTGTGTGTCTTAATTGGTCACAGCAGTGCCGTCTAGTGTAGAGGACGGAAAACACTACAGACTCACATAAACCACAACACTGAGAACAAGCGCCATCCTGCGGCGAGGAAAACGCAGTACAGCCAAACAGTCCAGGAAGAATTTCATTATTTTGCTTAGAAATTCACAGATTAACATTCTTCACCAAGTTTCCGATAACGTGAGAAGTTATTATTGTATATGTAAATGAGCATTCATCACATTTTTTCTGCACATTTATAACGCACACAATGTTTCTTGTCAGTGTTAGGCTATAGGACATTTGTTTTTAGTTTAGATTAGTTTTTTTCTGCACTTAAAGACATCTCTAGCATCTCGACCAACAGGTTTCTGAAAGCTCACTGCTTTTGCTATATCATGATCGATATGAATATATTTCAGATTTTCAGACTGTTTTTATAGTTAATTATTTCCTCTGAGCTCACCTATTAAAACTGCATTCAAAATGTCTTTTTTCTACTGATAGGAATACAAATTTATTGTAATACTGTAGGCCTATGACATAGGCTACATATTCGGCTCGTTCTAGAACATTCTCAGTTTTGTATTGGCAAGAAAATGGAACGTTGCATTTAAAAATAAACTCCATGTGTTTTGGTTTAGCTTGAATGAAAACAGTAGCCTATATAAACAACTGCATAGTTTAATTTAATGTAGATCAGGTGACTTCACGGAAAGCAGAAAGTGTCCGACTCCACGCCTCTCAATCACGAAGCCTTCAGCAATTCTGCACCCAGATTTTTTTTTTTCTTTCAATTCTGCAGAGCCCTATATAGCAAACACTGATAATAATAACGGTGACTTTAAATGGTGACTCTTTCATTTTATTCTGCTTGTTAACGGCAAGTGTATAATGGTCAATAATCACTCAATTAAAGTCTTAATCTCATTAATTTAAACACTGCTTCAGTGTTCTTTAACACTCTTGAGAGTGAACTCAAAATCTGGACCCTCCAGGAGCAGGTTTGGGCACCACTTCCCTATAGGTCAAATATTTCTAAAGTCAAGGGCACTGAAAAAAAGTATCTGGCTCTGTAATACGCCAACACATTACATGTTTATACAACATTACGTGCAAATTTTATTTTACTGGAACATTGTGTGCATAGTTTCTCTAGCTTTGCTTCAGATCTCATCCAACCACATTTCCGAACATAAACTTTCCTAAAAGCGCAGCGCTCGTTCTACTTTATAAAAAGGAAGATTATTTATATTGATTTTAAATTATTTTTCCACATAGTGCTTGTTTGCATTGCATTGGAAAAGGTTAATCGTTACAGAAATTAAATCATAATTATTAATAGCATGCTAAAATTAATATGTTGCACTCTGCTTCTGTATTTGGATTTATAGCCTTTTTAAACATTCACTATGAGATTCCATGTATTGGTATATAGTTGATATTTTCTATGTATTTGAGTCGATCTGTTGGACATCGGTCTCTCTTACTTTGCTGCAGTCTCGATCATGATCCAGTTATGATATTGCAGCCCGTTCTCATCCTTTAGCGTCATATGAGACGCTATATGACAAAACGCCGCTATACTATGCAGATGGCACCCTTTATCGTTAATATAACACGCGAACCCAAGGCGTCATAAATCATTTAGCGTGAAAATGAGACTAGGCCTACTCTACCCCACACCTAAACCTACCCATCACTGCGCGTGTTATATTAACGATAACTGGCGCCATGTGCGTAGTATTTCGCCGTTTTTTCATATAGCGCCACCTATATGACGCTAAAGGATGAGAATGCGTTGGATATTGTTATGTAACATGATTTATATTATTGTGTGGTGTAGTTGGTGATGCTAGAATTATTAAGGTAGGCTACAGATATCAGTTTCAGGAGTTAAATCATAATGAGTTCATCTTTGTTGTCTAAACAGTGTAGTCATGAAAAAAAAAAAACACTGAAATGAACAAGTTACAGTAAGTCACACTTTGCAGAAAAACCCGTTTCTTTGGTATGTTACCAGGAAGATATATAAAGCCTTCAGTTGGTCAGAACTCGACTGTTGAGCGGCAGTGTGTATCGTCTCTCTGTCTGTGTGTTCATATACAGTGAAATGGCAGAAGCCAGTTTCTCATGGGCTGAGGACCAGTTCACCTGTCCAGTGTGTCTGGATCTCCTGAAGGATCCAGTGACGATTCCCTGTGGACACAGTTACTGTAAGGAATGCATCTCAGACTACTGGAATCAGAAGGATCAGAAGGGGATCTACAGTTGCCCTCAGTGCAGAAAAACCTTCATACGAAGACCAGTTTTAAGTAAGAATGTGGTGTTTGCTGGGATGGTGGAGAAACTCAAGGCGGTGAGACACCAATCTGGTCCTCCTCCTCCTCCTTCTGTTTCTGCTCCTCGTCATCATCCTCACACTGGATCTGGAGATGTGCAGTGCGACTCCTGCACTGGAAGAAAACAGAAAGCAGTGAAGTCGTGTCTGGAGTGTCGAAGCTCTTACTGTCAAATTCACCTTGAACAGCATGAGAGTCTCTTCAGAAGTAAAGGACACAATCTGATGGACGCCACTGGACGACTGCAGGAGATGATCTGCCCTCGACATGATAAAATACTGGAGATTTACTGCCGTACCGACCAGCGGTGTATCTGTATGCTGTGTTTTGTGGATGAACACAGAAATCATGACACTGTATCAACTGCAGCAGCGAGGACAGAGAAACAGGTACTGCTTCATACTGGATCCCATGAGTGATCAAACCCTAAACATTTGAATGGTTGTGTAAATTTATTGATATTTCTGTTTTCTGCAGAGACATTTTGAAGAGAAATGGAGAAACATCCAGACGAGAATCCAGCAGAGAGAGGAAGATCTCCAGGAGCTGATAGAGGCTGTGGAGTCTCATAAGGTGAGTTTGGAGAAGAAGAGAAGCTTGTTTGGACTTTCCTCCAGTGCTGAAGCTCTTCATTGAAGCCAGTGTGTGTGTGTGTGTGTGTGTGTGTG